GGCCGTCCTCACCGGCAATCTCTTGAATGTAGATGCACATCCACCCTTCCGTACCATGTTGCAGAACAAGTCATTTTTCGTTGAGTGGCTAGCACACAACACGAAGCACGGACCCGACATCATTGCCTTTGCAGGAGTCGGTATAGCAGAATCCATGTTTGCTTATTGGGGAACCTGGGCATGATCCGCATGTCCACGAATTCTGATGCATGAGTTTTTCCGTTTTGCATATTTTCTATTCCTCAAATCCGTGATGCGCGTGTTTGCACTTGACCCATTTTGAATCTCAAGAAATATGTGTCTGCATCCGCAGCCACTTTCGGTTTACAACCAAGCCGACCTTTGCAATCTTGTATGCTCGATCACTTCGAAGACATGCCCATTCTCAATATGATGTTCGGACGATCCAGCGCCGCGGCACCTGTGCCAAAGCCGATGATCAAGAGACGCGCATCACCGTTGAAGGAATTCCCTGCTCGTGATGAGGAAGATGAGACATCAGACTGCCCCATGGAGCAAGTCGCCGATGAGAATCCATCCGCCTCTCAGCAACCCGAGAATCCATGGAGCAGGTTGATTATGATCCAGATTCCGACGACGATGATTCAGATGAAGAAGGGCATCCTCCCGCAGGAAGGCCCACGTCAAAGGCGATGCCGCATCCGAAACTTGTTCCAAAGTCACCGCCACCAGCATTGAGGCTTGTCTCCAAGGTCAAGCCAGCACCAAAGAACATCCTGGATGAAGAGACGGAATCCGACGATCATCCTGGTGATCGACCTGCACTTCCAAGGCGACCAGTGATGCGACCTGGTTCACATCCAATGATCGGTGGTTTGTAACATATGGATCGGATACAAACATCAGCCTCCAGAAGGAATCCGTGCACCCAGGACCTTTCGGAAACTCAAAAATCCTGAATTTTGTGTATGAGTACAAGGGAATGCTCAACCATCCTTGATGTCAATCCGGATCTCCATTTCGTTCCTGAGCATGAGAGACCACATGGAGTTAAGGTATTCTGGTTGAAGGCCAGATTCAACGATTACTGGCAGCCAACACTCCAAGGTGAAGGATCTCATACGGAGAAGCAATACATGGACTTCATCAAGAAGGTCTACAGCATCTGCTGCTACACCAATGCTCAATCCGAAGTTTACGGAACCGACATCATCCCGATGGTATGCCACAACGGCAACATTGATCTCGAGAAGACCGTCCAGAATGTCGAACAGGTTTGCAAATACTTCCGCATGGATCCATCCAAGGCGAAACAGATCACAGATCTCATCCTCTGGCGAATTGAGAGAATGAGCAGATCATTTTCCGGACGTCTTCGACATGATCCAAGGCATGGAATCCATAAGGAATGCAGACGACCAGTGGACATGGGTCCTGATGGATCCGTCGAGCTCTATGACGCATTGACCTGCGTCACACATGCCAGGAACTTCATTGGAAATAAGCCAGGACTTCTCTTGATGGCTATGTTCCCGAGCTATGGAAAATCACGTTTCGAAATTGCATTCGTATTTCCATCCGTGGACGGGCCATATAAGGAGTGCAAGGCACGGGGAGAAATTGTTCCAAGGAATCGATGGATCGACAAGCTTACCACAAGATCCGCACAAAATGCACTCAGGCCCGATGGCAAGGAATTCTATGTCGATCCAGAGATGGAGTTCTACGTGAGATGCAACAGCGGACACACACGACAAGTCGAGATCCAATCTTTTGGACGACCCCTGTACTCTGAGCAGCAGAAAGAGCCTCATCACGACGAACCGGACTATGATCTACCAACGGAATCTATTCCGCCAAGTCCGCCTCCGTCAAGATCCGAGGCGCCTCATGAAGATGAAGGCACAGCTCAGCCCAAGCACAGAATGCGAAGGCCGGCACCACCATCCATTGAAGAAGAGAGAAAAATCAAGCCGTTCGCGAAGAAGCCCATCACATTCTTGTTCCATGCAACCTATGGAAATCAGCTCTTCAGTATCATGGAGCACGGGCTCAAATCTGGGAAATCCCAGTCAAACCCTTCGGGGAGAATGCACGTCCACATGGCATGCATCAATGACGTCATCCTTGACGACGATGAGTCAGAAGCCGCATTGACCCATGTTTGACCCATGTGCCAGCAGGAAGAGATGCACTGTTGATCCTTGCATTCCTCAAGGACCAAGACTATGGCATCCGACTCTCCGAAGAGCGAACAGCGCTGACAGACAAAACAATCGAGGCAAGGAACATTGTCGCAGCATTTGAACCTGATGGCAGCCTCATGGCGAGCAACAAGTGGATCATGAAGAAGCATCTCAGTTATGAAGATTATCAGATGTACGACACCAAGATCCGCAAATTTGCCGATGCCTTCTTCAATTATGTGAGTTCCACCAAGCGCAGCAAGGAAAAAGATACTTCCTCAGAGACCAAGAAGAGACGGCATTCCACCGATCAGGACGAAGCCGAAGAAGAGACGATGGAACCCTCCGGGGAAAGATCCGTCAAGCCAAAAGTCACCGTGGAATATCACAATTCAGAGAACCTAGATGAGTTCAGGGGAATCTATCTCGACACAGATCTGAACAAAAAGGACGCAGAGGAAGAGCTCGAGGAGACCAAGGCAACCCTCTCCCACTTCAGGAACAAGTTCAACAAAGATCCAAGAAGAGCTCATCCCAACTTGACAGAGTGCGAGAGAGCCTCATTGGCACATGTCGATCCCGATGTCAATCTCGGAGAAGAAGAATTCTACTTCCCTCATCGAGGAGAATGTCCCACCATTGACGAGTACAAGAAAGCTCAACCAGGATCCGGATATCCGATTAAGCTTCCGCTTGGATTGAAAAAGCTCAGGTCACATGATGACCCGGAAATCATCCGAGCATCGCTGATGCAGCCGACCGACCGTCCTCCTGTGGACTATCTCAATATGCATGAGTTCACCTCATCCATAGCGATCAACATGCTTACCCTGAACCATGGAAACCTCACAAGGAATCCAAAGCTGGACAACAGGGAGGTGTACAACATGCCGATGAAGGATCGACCGATCGTAAAGATGATGATGCAGAACAGTGCACACATCTTATGCCTGAATGAAGCAGACGCATTCTTCAGTCCTAATGATGAGAAATCCAGGGAGCTCATCAAGACGTTCATCCGATACGGTTACAAGGGCATCGTGATCAAGCAATGGTCATCCAGACCGATCGCATGCTTTGTCCGTGGCGGACCTTCTGCAAGAGTGGAACTTCTGGCAAGACACATTTCCACCAAGAGCCAGAATTGGGGAACCACATTCGGAATGTTCAGATGTTTCTTCGGAACTGAAGGAAGTTGCACTGATCCCGAATACGAAACTCCGACCTCGGATTGCTTGGCAACCACAGGACCATCCATGTTTACTGAATCCAAGAAGTACATTGGACCGAGATTGCCAACACGCACCATTGTCCAAGGACATGGCCGAGACAAGGAGATCGTCGTTCTCCATATCGAGCAGAGTGATGAGTTTCGTGGCATGATCCCGAAATCATCCAACAATTCACTCCACGAGTATGACGACCGCCACATAACGAGGGCAGATCTCCCATTCGCTACCATTGGAGTTTTCCACCTCCATCCTTCAATTAGCCATGGAGCAGCAAGGGAAGATCTTCAAAATGAAATCGTGCCGCTCGTGACTTTGTACCGATGTGATGCGATCACCGGAGACGCCAACAAATCAGCGAACACCTACAGCAAACTCCAGCACGTCTTCAATCCGGCCAACGGTCTCGTGAACATCCTCATGAAAGCATATCAGAAACTGGAATGAAACGAAAATTTGCCACTCGTGGACAGAAGAGTATGCAATGGAGACTTCGTGCACCCTAAAATCCATTGTCCGTCATCACCTGTACATGAAGTGTGGATCAGGATATGATCGAACATTCCCAGATGTGATGATGACTTTCGTATTTGGATGGGGCAAAACGAGCATCCAGCAGGCTTTCCGGAAGGACGAGATGAACGGCATGGATGATGAACAACTGCAATTCATGCGGAACAATCCAACCAAGGCCATATTCGATTACCAGGTCTCATCCGCAGAGCGCTTTAAGCACGTGAACAATGACATGTTCATGAATGGCTCGCAGGACTCCGACTCTCATAGTCCTCTCATGGTTTACATCCGCAGCAAATCTGCAACCAAGCAACACAGCTCTGAGAGATACCAGGAGTACAGCAAGAAGAAACAAGTCTGGACCCCACTACAACAAGCAGTGGGGACATCAGAAGCAGTGGAAGGACTATAGCAGCTCGACCTGGAATGATTATGGAGACTATGGCAGTGAATCTGACAGCAGCCGCCGATGGTATCGTCGATCCGACTGACCATGAAGATTTATACGTTCAGCACCACGAACTCAATTCAGATGATTGATCCTCGCCGTCTACAAGACTATACCATGAGTGAGTGATCAATAGTTTCACAATCGTCCCGCGTGTACATAGCGTTGTACATCACCCTTTGATACATCTAGGTATCTCAAAAAGAAGCAGTACATAGTGTTTTCCATTTCGAAAGCCAAGACATTTCATCCGAGCAGAAAAGAGGATGAATCCGGCATTTTTAATACACATGGCTACCGCATACAGCATGGCTACGGCATACATCAAGGCTACGGCCAAAGGCCATGAAGCCAATAGTATTTCATACTTAGTGCTGGAGATCAAAAGAAATTTGTGTTTGTTTCTCAATCCAGTTGATCTCCCGCAACATTTGGCTCAAGGCCCCTTTTGTGTATCATTGCATCTTTCATGATCGCGTGAAGCAAAAGAACCTTAGCAGGCCGCTTCCAGGATTATCCACAAGACAATCCACCAGAGACCAACGACGACCTCTACTACCACAGGGTACCAGTTCCCTTCTGGGATAGGCACCTGGGGCAGTGGGCCTCACCCCCCCCAATCCCCCGCCCCATCCCCACCCCCCACCCGGCCAGCCCTAGGCTCACCATGACCTTCGAGCACTTCCCCTCGAGCTCCCGCTGGCGCCGGCTGCAGATCGTCATCGGGGACGGCAGCACGCGGCAGTGCGCCATCGGTGGTTGGCACGGGGGCGTCCGCGCGGTCACGCACTGCGAGCAGAAGGCGGGGGGCGTTGGAGACGGTTTGGGTCTGCCAGGTTTGCCCCGCAAAAAGGGGCAGTCTTCGGGAAGTCCTTGATATTTTGTTTTGGGGGGGAGTTGAAGAATTTGATGGCGGAATTTCCGGTGGGTGGTTTCTATGAAGTTTACGCATCTAGCAATGCTAGCGCTCATGCGCCTCCCTGAGGAGTGGGCAAAGTTCTTCCCCAAGGAGCCGGTCTTTTTCTGATTGAGCATAAGTTTGCAACGCAGTGCCCAGCTTGAGGACAGGAGCGCGAGCTGCAGTGTAGCGTAGCGGTAGAGTGGCCGAACTTTCCTTTTTGGAGGATTGTTGGGTGGTGTTCGCCGTTGCGCGCATGCGCTCACGCTTGTGCCGCAAAAGTATTTTACTTCTCGGTCATGCCGGCGATTCACGTGTTGACATGCTGACTTGTTCGTCATTTGTTTATTTGGGCTTTGACCATACCCTTATGGAAACGCATGGCGAACTCGCCATGCATGGTTTTCCGCAAGGCCTTGGGGCCAACTAGCCAGACACCATTTGAGCAGTTTGAGATCCTTTGAAGCTGCCGCTTGTACACAGGCTTCCGTACAGAAGAGAGGCACACAGGAGGCTTGGGCCTTGCAAGATGCAAATCAGTCAGCCCTTGGGGTTTCTGTTGTTGGCAGTGCCTTTCTTTTGGCCAAATTCAGCCGCCGTTCAGCAGAAATGGTACGGAGGCGCTTTAAAATTTTCGTTTGCTCAGGGCGGAGAAGTGGCGCGGTGAACGGCCAACCATGCTTTACCATCACCCCGCTTTGCTTTTCTACCCTGGTCCTATGATTCAGGCAACTGCCTGGAGCGCGATTCAATTGGCGAGGCTTGAGGAAACTGAATGGCATCGCAGCGGCGACTTGCAGCGCTGTTTGCACTTTGATCCAGTCGTTTGAAGGCATTGGGTGACAGGATTGTGTTCATTTCTGCGTGATCGGAGTCCACAGCTGTGCCACAATCAAAACCCGGGTAGATGAAGGTTAGTAAGGACAATCCCAGCCATAAATAGTTGCGGCCGCCTTCTTAATTCTTTACATGGTTCTGGGTAGACCATTTTAATACCGGGTTTTGATTATGACTCAGCTGGGGCGTGCACAGCTGTGGGCCAGCGCAGATGGCGCTGGATTCGTCCATGTCTCGCCTCACTGTGGGCCCACAGCGGGAGTCGTGCAGCGCGCAGTACGCGGCACGCGGGAGTGAGGGGGTGAGGCGGGGTGTTGCTGTGCGAATGCAATTTGGGGCTGGGTTTGTGCCGCAGTGTGATCTTTGTTTTGCTTCGGCATTTGCGGTTATTGCTTGAGGTTACCCGGGGAGGGTTGGGCAGAAAGGCGGCTGCCGATTTTCAGCCTTCTCCCGAGCCAGGTTGCAGCCCGCCATGCCGCCTTTTGGCCTGGAATGATTTCGTTGTTCGAGCTCCTTTTTTTTTGGGGGCCTTGCCTTCCGGGTGATTGGAAGAATCGTCTTTTGGGCGAATAGAAAAGACAGTTGCCCTTGGACTCCATGTTTTGTGAGTGAATGTGGAAAGGGCACAGCTGTGGCACTTGCGGAAGCCCCTTTTTGGACGTCTTCGAGCGTGTTTTGGGTTTGCACGTGTGAGGCTGAAGGCGCGACCAATGGCAGCCACCATGTCGCCCGGAGGTTTGCCGCCAATTACCAGGCTGTGAAGCTCGTTGCAACATGTGGGGGTTGATCAAAACTCCTGACCCCCACATGACCATGGGTAGTTTGTCCCAGGACCTATCACTTGTTGAAATGGTTTTCCAACCGCTGGTCATCCCAGGTTTATCGGATCTTTTGATCAACCCCCTGTGTGCTTACAGAATTTGAGACTTCTTCAGAGCTTCCTCAGAATTAGCTCCCCCCCTTCTTTTTTTTTTCCCCCTTTGTTTTCCACTATCCAGGAGCAAAGGATATTTTTTGCCCGGGTTTTAATTCCAGCCTAGAGAGGCTGAGGGATTTTCTGACGACTCTTTTTGGAGAGGCCTCCCGAGACTCTGCCCGGAGCCGCAGATGTGGAGAGCGGCTGGAGTTTTTTTTCCGCCCGGTCCGAGGCTGGGGCAGACGCCGAGAAAAAGGATGGGGCACTGGAATGCGGGCAGGAACCTCAAGGGGGAAATGTGGCTGTGGTTGTCAAAAATAGGGCAACCCCAAAATGGGTTGCCCTGGTAAATGGCAACATGGACTAAAATCTGCGGTCCCCTGGTGATTTAATATTGACCCACACCCATGTGGGACTGGACTTCGCAGGTTTTCCGCTCAGATTGTTCAAGTTTGTGTCGGAAGAGCATGAGCCGCCAAAGGGCTGGCCCAGTGTTCCTTTTGTTGCGCTAGCGGGCTCCGTGTTGCAGTCCTCCACTCCACCCGTGCATCCTCAAGCTTGCAATGCAACGGATGCATGAGAGCAAAGAACCCAAAAAGGCAGAAATGTGTCTGGCGCAGGCCGCCAAGACTAGTTGAGTTCTGAAGTTCGCCGACTGCGACTTGTGGGGCTTTAGGAAAACACGAGTTCCAAATCAAACATGAAGCTTATTGACGCGGGTGATGCTGGGGATGAAGATAGTTTCTTTCAAGAACATTTCGCTGGTGCCTGCAAACAATAGGTGTTTCTGAAAGCGTGCCCCTTTTCCAGGCAGATGTGATGCAGATGCTCAACTCCCGGGGTCCCGGGGCGAGCGAAACGCGGAGCTGGTAAGTTTCAAGCCTGAAAAGTTTTGGAGCCTCCGGGAAGTTCCTTGTCGCCGAGCTTCGGGTTGCCCGCAGAGTGCCTGCCATCAGTCTCCACCAGGCCTCATGGCTCTGAGGCCACGATGCCTTGGCGGCAGCATCAGTTTGGCTGGACAACGTGGCGCGCGAGGGGAAACGCGCGCGCCTCAGCTTCGGCCGCAAAGCAGCCAGCATGCTGGGGTCATTATGTTGCCGTTTCTAGGGATAAGTTATCAAAGTCAGAAATGGAGCTTGTTTCCTTTGCCCTAACACTTAGGGGTGACCTTGACAATTGTAAAATAATGGGGCCAGGCATGTTCGCAGCAAACCGGAGGGTTCGAGAGTGCCCAGTTTTGCAGGGGTTGGAGACCGTCTGACCGTGGAGCCAGTCCTTCACAAAGGCGATGTGCCCGAGCCCAAAGACGGCGCAGCAGAGAGACGGAAAGCAGAGTGATTCGGCCAAAGGTCGCTGAAGGAGCTCCAGGGCATGTCGCAAGCAGTGAGGCCGACCGACTTAGAATCTACGTTGCTTCGGCCTGCATGGCCAGTCCGAAGCATGCTGTCCCATTTTCCCACACGCTGCGTTTCGCATCTCATGCGTTCTTGGCGTTTGCTGCTTGAATCTGCTTGACACATGTTGTGGTGATGTGGTTATGCACGGCTGCGCTTGTCGAAGTCCGTTTCGAGGGCCCTAGATTTGTGTTGCGTGAGCCGGGGGTTTCCAAACTTGCTGGTGGGAGCCTTTGGGAGCTAGCGACCGGAATCCTGTAAGCGCATGGTAGCATGTGAAGCTTCCGCTTGGAGCCCCGCAGTGCACGGAGCTTTCCGCGGAGCTTTCGATTCGAACTTCAGGCGCTTGATCGCCAACACGGGAGCCCTCACAGCGCGAGAGCTGCAAAGGGCCAAGAAGGATCAGGCCGGGCTTGCTTGGCGGGTCCGAGGCCCCAAACTGACGAGGCACATCAACCATGCATATGTGCAAATGAATGTGTGACGAAAGGCATGCATGCATCCATTCGATCCATGCATACGTGTATGCAGGTACGTTAAGGTGCATTGCGTGCATTATGTTGGGTCACGGTGCGTCGCAGTACATTGCATAGCATTGCGTTGCATTACATTGCAGTACATTACGTTACGTTACATTACGTTGAATTACGTTACATTACGTTACATTACGTACATACATGCACGCAACCATGCACGGAGATACACACATACGCATACACATATCACCACATGCACACATACATACACAGACGTACGTACGTACGTGCATGCATGCATGCATGCATGTATGCATGCATGCATGCATGCATGCATGCATGCATGCATACATACACACACACACACATGCATACATTCATACATACGTACGTACGTAAGTACGTGCATACATACATACATACATACATACATACATACATACATACATACATACATACATACATACATACATACATACATACATACATACATACATACATACATACATACATACATACACACATGAATCCTTCCATCCATCCATGCATCCATCAGCCAGCCAGCCAGCCAGCCAGCCAGCCAGCCAGGCAGGCAGGCAGGCAGGCAGGCAGGCAGGCATGCGCACAAACCGCATACACAGACGTTGATCAGATAGCATACATACAATACATACCATGGAAACATAGATACCATGCACACCATATGTCCCATACACACCATAGATACCATACACACCATAGATTTTATAAATGCAAACCATGCATACCGACACACCATACACCCACACCACACATACCATACATACCGTGAATACCGTACATGCAGACACACCAGATATCCCATACATGCTATACGCGTATACGCACACACGTGCGCGTGTACTTACATACATGCATGCATACAAGATGTCAGTTTCAGTTGTTTGCTTAGATCCTATGGTTGTCAAGGCCCCCGCCATCCTAATAGGGGCTTTCTTGCGACCAAGAAAGGCCTAGGTTTTGATGAGGGCCCTTTTTGGGGGGTTCCCTCTTTTTGGGGGTCCCCTCTTTTTTTGGGGGTCTCCTCTTTTTTGGGGGTCCCATTTTTTGGGCATGGGCCCCTGACAACCCATGCGAGAGCTGGTGATCGATCGATTGCGCGGCAGATTCGCAGGAGCTCTTCAAGCCCTTGAGCAAGGACAGACGGCCACAAGTTGCTGCCGGAGTTGGTTGGATTTTTTTTTGCAAACTTGGTTCAACTCTCTGGATGTTTTTCAAAGAACTGTCTTGATCTTTTTTTGAGCAACTCTTTGGATGCTAATGCTTTTCAAAGAGCTCTCTTGATTTGCTTTTAGCAACTCTTTGGATGCTTTTTGCCCTCTCGCCAATTAACATGGAAGCGTTCGACGTTTGGGGAATCGGTCCTGGCTTTGTCCTTTTGAAGAGACCCCGGATGTCATCCATGTGAATTGGCGGGAGGGTTCCCACGCCGCATGCAGGCTTCGCACTGATTTCAGGAGGAGCTCGAGATGAAGACGATCCTGCAGCTCATAAGTGAAAAAGCCGCCCAAAGGCGCTTCGGTGGCCATCCGCAGGATCGGTTCAAAGCTCGCCCGCGACGTTCGCCCGATCCGCAGGTTCAGCTCGATCCGCAGCGCTTTGCGACACTTGGACGCAGACTGCGATGGCAGCGTGGATCGCAGCGAGGCATGGGATGGGTGGAGACCAAGTTAGGTGGCAGCTTGGTCACAAGAAGGTGCTGCGTGCCAACTGTAGATCTCCTCGACTTTGGCCCAAGCCTTTCCACAAACGGGATGACCATGGAGCCCTGTGCCCCACTCAGTGGTGCGTCGGGCTGTTTTGAGTTGCGTGGCTCACTTGATGAAAGGGCGCAACAAGAACTCATCCGTTTATGTTGCCTGGCACGTCCGGGAAGTGCTCTCGGGGCTTACGGCTGAGAGGCGAGACTCAGTGTCTCTCGGCCTTTTCGCCCGGATAATGTCAACCCCGGACAAATCAACCCCTGATTGATTTTGATCGGGGGGTGTCCAATTCCTTTTAGTGGGGATTCGGACCACTTTTGGAGGGAACACCCCCTACTAAATGGGACGGGTTCTGCTTAGATCCTGGGTCAACATTAGGATGACGCTTAGCCCCACTTTTGTGAACCAGGGAATCTCCCGTAATCTCCCCCCTTTATATGGGGGCTTAGTCTTTGGGGTTAGGCCCTTTCTGTTGTATCACAGATGGCTTCTAGGATGACCACCCGGGCAGCGGGGGCAGCGGCCCGGCAAGCGGTGCGCTCGCAGTACTTCTTCGTGGTCAACGATGACGAGGCCTTCTCCGCACCTCGGAGGAGAAGCTGCTGAACCGCCCCCCCCCCCCCCTGTCCCGCAGGTTTTGTTTGGGGAGAAATTGGGCCCCAAATGCACCCCCCCCAAGCTGACCCGCAGAAAGTTCTTGCGCAAAAATATGGCGCCAAATTAAATGCAACTGCCTTTCCATGGCAGCGGCGTGGGCATTGCGCCACGGGCCGTGCATTTGTTTCTTCTTTTTTCAATTTTACTGTTTATTTATGTGTTGATTGTTTTTTTTTTTTTTGTTTTTTTTTTTTTTTTAATTTATTTATTTATTTACTTATTTATTATTATTATTGTTTTTATTGGGCTTCTGTGTCGGCCCGGCCCTAAGCGAGGTCTTTGGCCGGCAGGAAGTGCAGGATATCAACACCATCCGCCAGGCCGCAGCCTGAGAGATGCGATGCGATGTGGCGAGTCACATGTGCCGGCTTACCACAAGCACATCACTCCTCGGCCCCCCAAAAGGCAAAGAATAAGAAGAGGAGAGGCTCAGGGCAGTGGCAGATTCACGGATGTCACAGAGGATGTAGGGTTGTGGGATCATGGGGTTTATCTCCCCACTTCCTTGCGACGCAAGGGAATCTCCCCCTTTGGTGGGGCTAGTCTTTGGGAAGCCCTTTCTGTTGTATCACTGAAGTGGTCATTTCCCACAGTTGACCATCTGAGGTAACCGATGTTGGCTATTTGGTCCTTTTCTTATTGGTTGTGGCTGGCATGCTCTGGCTGAACGCCTCAGCAATCTCCTTGGGCAATGTGCTGCGACTGTCCGAGCCCATCGACTACATGGGTCGTTTGTGCGGCTATGATGATGAGGCACGACCAAACAGGGCAGAGTTGCAAACAAGCGGGCGGGAAAGGCATTGGAGACCAAGCTGCCAAGTGCGCGTCCCAACCTGACTTGGCCTGAGGTGAGAGACAAAGCACTCGGTTACCATCCGAACCCTTTCAATGACATGGTGATTTGTGTCTCATCCTGCCCGCAGACAGCCACTGATGGAAGCTTTACTCTGCCGGACGGACCAATGGGCAAGGGTTTCACCAGACCAGCATATCCCACCGCCAACATCTATGGCCAACTCTGTTTACCTCTGGACTTGGCACTTGCTCGCCTGATTATTTCTGTCAAGAGTGTCCAGACAGAGATGTATGTCGGCCTTGGTATCATTTTTACCTCGTCCGATGGAGTTCTTCTTGTCCTCATCATACCCTTCATCACCTCAGCCATCTACGTTATTGCACTCTTCTATGTCCCCACAGCTACCACTGCCCTAGCTTTCAGCATCACGGCGGTCACCTTGGCATTGGTCGGCATTTTGATGGATCTGGACATGAGCGTCATGATGGAGATCCCTTTGTTCAAGGAGACGCACCCGCTGATGCTGATGGTTCACCCGTACTTCCGCACCGCCTTCTACATTGGTGACTTGGCAAGTTAAAGGGGCCCTAAAGGCTTCAGCCCAAGCGAAAACCAAGGTATGGACAATGGGAGACCCTCCAGCCAAGTATCCTCCCTCCCACTAACGTGGCATCTGGCAGAAGGCCCCTCCAATAGGAAATTGATCTTCCAGGTACCTCCTACAGGTGCCATGGCAACGTGGGAGGAAGGGTAGGCCAAATTCATTTGCCACATTCCAGGAAAAATCTTGGTATACTTCTGCGTCTTTCTTTGGGGACCCCAAAATGATGGTTTTCCCGGTGGTTTCCCTTTGAAACCAAGCAAGTCTGTCTTTGGGAACCCCAAAATGATGGTTTTCCCGGTGGTCTGTCTTTGGGGACCCCAAAATGATGGTTTAAGCAAATCTGTCTTTGGGACTAAAAGGTGGTTTCCCCCCTTTAGCAAGATGCCCAGCAACCGATGTCCCTTTTTTCTTTCGCAGGCGGCCTGGGCTTCTTCTTGGTGCTGGCCACGAGCCTCTCGGCCATGAGCCGCGCCGCGGTCTTCCGCGAGTGCGTGGCCGCCCTCGCGGACCCCAACGTGCTGGTGACCGTCTTCGCCGCCGTGGCCTTCTCCGTGCTGCGCATCGCCTTCATCCTCCACGCCTGCAGGCCAGGGGATTCTTTTTTGGAATTGGGGGGTGAGAATGTGCCTTTTTCGTTTTTTTTTTTTTGGGGGGGTTCAAAAGTACCGGGGGGGGGGGGGCTTTGTTGTTTTTTTGAGGTCTTGTTTGTAGTTTTGTTTGTGTGTTTGTTTTTCGATTCGTTCAATCACGACACCGGCCCAATTTGAGTTCCGAGCCCCTGGAACTCTGACACTAAAAAGCAACAGCCGTGTTTTTTGTTTTTCTTATTGTTTTTGGTTGGGGGGGGGAGGAGTCTCTCGTTTTGGCTCACGGGTTTGCTTGCTGGTGCGGTAAGTAGGGAATCAGGCAATGAATCCAGGGGTCTCCTTGTCCCAAAAGTTCCCTGTCACGTTGTGAGGAGCCTTGCGCTGCTCATGAGCATCGTCACGCCTGTGGAGGCAACGGGCGGCTGACAATCACCTGACGTGCGATTGCTAAAAGGGAAGGCCGTTTTTGATTCGTGGGTTGCGGGGTGTGCAACCATTTTCTCGCCGATGTCTTATGGAGCGCTTCATTTGAAGCGTGGCTTCCAGGTCGAGCTGCGGCTCTTTGGGGAGGTGCACTTCGTGCCTCGTACTGCCTGGTCGCCCTTCTTCCTGAAAGGCGTCTTTTTCTATGTCTTCGGAGTTTTTTGGGTCCTGGAGTTCCTTTCCTTCAGCAACAAGTACATCACCTCCCAGGCGCGCGGGCGATCGGTCCCATGGGATGACAGCTGCCTCGAGCTATGCCTGGTTTGCCCAGGTCATTTGTGCCAATTATTTCCACCTGAAGGCCCGCAATGCACAGATGCAGGAGATCAACAGTGGGCGGCCTGCGCCCATTCGATTTGCCGTGTACTCCATATTCAGACGCTCGGCCTAAGCTTGGGCTTGGATGCGCCCATGCATCCAGTCCGTTGTCTACTTGCTTAGATTTGATCTCCTGCGAGCCCAAACAGACGCCTCACTTCCGGCTGTTTGGATCTCAGATGAGACATCCGAGGATTTCATCTGGGGAGCATTGCCAAGGCTGCGCTGATGTCTGCTCCCTGCCGGCTCCTGCGCAGCGTGCCGCTGTGCAGAACTTGCTCCGCGGGGTTGGATCTCGGGCCACCCGTCCGCCAGCCGTTCGCGTCGCGCGGCTCAGGATCGGGCTGTTCGTGCCGGACAGGCCGAACCTCGACAAGTCCCTCAACCAGCAGTACCGCCGCCTGGCGATTTTTTTCTTCCCTGTAGCGCGTTGCAGGTTCTTGGGTTGGCCAATGCAACGCCCAAATTGCAGGAATCGCCTTCTACCTCTTCTGGCCCCTGATCAAAATCGACCTCCTCCTCCTGCGCTTCTACAAAGACAGCGTGATAGTGATGCTGGCGCTGAAGGGTTTCAAGTATATGGACTCCGCTCGCCGCACGGAGGGGCTACTCAACAGATCCCGGGGGAAGATTCCGCACTTGACCAAGTTCACGTCCAGGATGGGGTGCTCATGATGTGGGCGCTTTTGTTTTTTGGATCTTAAAGAAGAAGTTTGTTTTGCCTAAAAAGTGTATTCTTTGATCCCTCACCCGCACTTCTGTCGCGCTAGCATTGAAGCTGCTGGGGGCGGTGCCATCATGTTCACTCGCCAGGATCGAAACATTCCTCAAGATGAGCGTTGGGCTGACGAGCATGATCTGGGCCTTCTTCTTGTTCCGCGAGCCGCGGCATGGAGTCTATCACCAAGTGGAGACGCTCACAGTGCACCTTGCCTGAACAAGGCTTTCTTCACCTTGCAAAGGCCAGATAGCGGAGCCGAGGAAAGATTCCGTGTCGCATATGTTCGTGACGCCGGAGCACTCACCACTGCTTGCAATGCCGGTACTCTTTCTTTTCGGTTTGTGGGTAGGCGATGGTATGCTTCACCTGATCACGATGGCATCCAATGCTCTGACCATTTGCTATTGCATCGACGTGGAGATGGTGGGCGGCACTGAGACGGATGCCCTGTACGCACCCCCGGCCCTGAAGCTGGTCTACCGGGATTTGGGCGGCGGCGAGTCTGAACGGGAGCTGGCGGAGCTGATGGCCAACAACGCGGTCATGCAGTAGCGCCTCTCGCACGGTTCGGCTCTTCACGGCCAGCGCCGGCACTTCGTCGCCGTTGGCCTCGTAGGGCCTCGTAGCGCCTCGCGGGGGACGCAAACGTGAACAAGTCACGGCGCTCGCGCAGGCGGATGAGATTGCGCGCCCGAGACGGAGAGCAGGGCACGCGGCCATGCCAATGCAAGGCCCAAAAGCGGCGAAAAGAGGACCTTGCATCTGCATTGTGGGACCTGTGGGGGGCCCTCGGCAGCAAGTGCAGTGCAGTGTGCATGGCCAGGTTCGACATTTTTTCCGCGGCTACAACTTCACCGACGAAATCGCCGACAAGTTCTTTGATTACTTAGACGAGGACCGCATGAGGTCAGCTCAGCAGTTTTCTGCGACTTTTGCCGGTAGGAGAAGCTGGGGGAGCTTGACTATGCCAAATTTGCCCGGGCCCAAGGCTTTGACAGGCGCCGTTGGCACCACAGAGTGGTGGTGAGACACTGGGCCCAGGTGAACTTTATTCGGCCGTTCTTGGAGGGCGCCATCAATGGCACGCCGCTGACTGCGCGTGCTCGGCTCAGGAAGTCGACCAGGTGTTGGCCAAGGTGTTGTCTAAGTAATCTGTTGCCAGGAGTTCCCATCTAACTAATTTGTTGCCACATGACGTGAGACATGCTCAGTTTGTCAGGCGACTTGACAAAAGGGAAAGGGGCGCCGCGGCCTTGGCAATGGGCAGTCGAAGTGTGTTGTGCTTCCCCTAGAGCCATACCTGTTTTTGTAGCTGGTTTCTGCCACTGCCAACAGGCGTTAGGTCAACTCATGGTGGTTGTTGGGACACATTTTACATTTTTGCTTATTGTGGTTTAGTGGCAACTCCCCACTTAATTGCTAAAGTTTAGATTTTTGCTCCCCTAACCCAACGTCAACCAAGAACTGCAAGGCTTTGGTCTGTTGGCGAGGCTGGACTACGTCCTGGAAGGTTTGCTCGATGCAACTGAAGAGGGTCAAGAGCAGCCGGGGACCCGAGAGATGTCAACTTGGGGTATGGGCCATGTGCCTAGCCTCCAGGTGGTTCTTGCGGAGGATTTGCTGATTTGGAAGTCTTAAGCGCTTCCCAGCCAGCTTAAAAAGCTTCGCTGGATGCCACGTTCTCTGAGGCTGGCTACCTTTGATGCAAAGTTTCAGGTGCGGATTCGCATCGCATTGTTCGGTGTCTCTCTTTTGGTTGTTTGGAGTGTTTGGGTTTGTCTCACAGCCCCTCAAAAGAAAAAAAACAAAACAAAAACGTTTGGTTTCCTGTTTGGCTTTCCTCAAAGGCATCCCGTGTCCGTGGGGCCTCCAGTTTTGGTTTTGAGCGGTGTGTCCGCCCAGGCTTGCTCTAGGTGCGCTGCATTGCATTCAACAGAAGGTGTTGAGTGTGTGGGTGTGTATGTGTGTGGGTGTGTAGGTGTGTGGGTGTGTAGGGTGTGTGGGTGTGTAGATGTGTAGGTGTATGTGCTTGTGTTTGCCTGTGTGTGTTTGTGTGTTTGTGTTTGTGTGTGTGTGTGTCCGAGTGTGCGCGTGCGCATGCAACTCACTTCAGATGCCACATGCACGTGCAGGACACGCTGAGGGTACTGGCCAGAAAGGCAGGCAGTCTTGAGAGACAGGGCAAATCGCCGCCATTTGATTCGGCCTATGCTTGCTTGTGGTACTTTGCTATCTCGGGCTTCTCGTTGTTTCCGTCAGAAGGGGCGCTACCCTTCAGCAAGCCTGTGTTGCTTTACGCCCATGGTGACATGAGCAAGTGTTGTACAAGCCCTCCGCCAAATTCGTGGAGGCTTGCAGTCAGCATTCTGGACAGTGGCCCACTGCGCCGCCGCGACCACATTTCGCAATCCCTTGTGCTCGAGTTGCCAGAAGTACGGGCCTTTGAGGTGAATAGTTAGTGGGAACCCAGGATGAATGAATTTGTTTTACTTGTTTAGGTGTCCCGTGTGAGAGGGAATCCTTCGCCTTCGGCAAACATCCCTTCATTTGTTCCCCTGCTTGATTATGGAGGATGCATTGTGGAGACTCGAGCAAACACCTTGAGAATCTGGGGTCCAGATCAAGGCAGCAGATGCCTCAAGACCCGCCAATCCGGAATCCCCTTTGTGAAACATGCTGGATCTCATGCAATGCCGCGCGCTGTTGCTGGCCTTTTTCGACCTGCAGGAGCTTGCATGGCTTGCTGATGTCTTTTGTCCAGAGTCAGGTGGGAAGTTTTGCCATGGGGACTTTTGCATGTTGGTGTTGACCAGTTGAAGGCAGGGGTCCGCGGCACTTCGCAGGAGCTGGCCTGCTCTGAAGGGGGACGGATTGTGGAGGAGCTTCGGTTCTTTCGTTGGCTCGTGGTGGTCACTGGAATGCTGTCGTGGCAAAACCGTTTTGTTGCTTGTGCAGGATAGGGTGAGGATGAGAGTGAGAAGAGACATTGGAAAGGCGATACCGAATTGTAAGTCCAACAGTCAACTATCAACAGTGCATTTAGAGAAACCTTCCATGCTGTTAGACGAGATTGAGGCAATGATGGTGATTTTGTTTTGTTTTGGTAGAACATCAACGCCGTCGCAAGCTCTTTATCAGCAACGGCTATGTTGACATTGGAGGATAGTTTCAACTTGCCGCAGGACTTGGACATTCATGGTAGAATTTCGGGCCGTTCACCCCTTTGAACGGAATGCGAAGCAGTCGCCGCTTTGCAAGTCGCTCGTCAGCCCCTGCAAGGAGCGAAATAATGTGGTGCACGCCCTGGAGAAGAATCGCTCGCTCCAGGATTTCGTCACCAGTGGGCAGTTCCCCAGGCCAGCTTTGCGCGGCAAGCCGTTCGCTGGCCGTTCGAGCCAGGTTCCGTTTTTTTCTTCTTCATTTTTGTTTCTTCTCTGTGGCACTTTGACACATGTGTTTGTCTCAGAATGGGTACTGCCCCCAAAATGCGTGTGATTTTGTCTCAAAATATGGGGTTAAAACCCCCCCCCTGCCCCGCCCCAAAATGTTGGTTTTCCTTTGGTTTTCCCCCTCAAGCCAAAGGGACCGGAAGCCCCATGCCCAGGTTGCAGGAACTCTACCGACGCTACATGAAGGGGCTGAGTGACAAGGACGAGGAGCTCGCGGACGCCTTTGCCTTCGTGCGGCTTTTGGATTTAGCGAGGGAAGCCTTGTACGAAGAAAAGGAGGAGCTCGTGGCCCCTTGGCTGCCTGAGGCGCTTTGCGAGCTGAAGATGCAGGGCTTCGACTTGGTGCAGCTCAAGGCGGTGAACCGTTTGCGGAACGCGTTCAAGTACCAGACCTCGAAGCGCCTCGAGATTCCTCAGGGGAAGGCCAGCCAGATCGCAAAGCAGTTGAACGAGATGTCCCTCTCAACGGACGTGGAGGTTCGCGAGGCCTTGGTGGGCTTGCTCCCGGAGGAATGCCACCCGCACCTCTCTCTTGACCAACTTTGGGCCGACTACCGGAACGAAGTCGGAGGCGAGCCGAAGCCGATCGAGCTGCCTGGCGCCTTACACTTGCTGGGAACGCATTGGTTCAAGTGTCGTGCGGCGCCCCGGCTCCTTGCAAAGTTGGACGTGCAGCTCAACGCTGACAAGTTGTTTGCCGTAAGCGACGGCGCTTTCTTCCACGGGGCCCTGAAGATCCTAGCGGACAAGTATGCCGACCTTAAGGAGGTGCCGGACATAGGGCCGCTGCTGCTGGGGCATGGCAAAGTGAAAGACTTGGAGACGCGCTTGCGGCAACGCGCCAGTCGGGAGAGTCGTAGATAGGTACCCCATGCGCAAGCAGCCAGCTGTCCGCCTGCTGCTTGTACCCAAGGCATTTTGTCGCCTGCAGCATCCAATGCGTTTGTCGCCTGGCTGGAGGTTTGCCGCTGTACAGGTTGGATTGCACGAGACCAGCGCATGTACAGAATCGACATTCACGGCGCATGAAAATGACAGCAAAATCAAGAAGTCAGGAAGAATGTTCTAGTTTATGATTCCCGACATTTCACCCAGGGACACCCCCTATTAAACTGGGGGTTGACTAGTATGGGGGCAACGTTATCGTCATGTTTCCGGCTCCTGAGCAGCCGGCAAGATACCACCTTCAAGCTCGTCACTAGCTCCCCATTGTGCCTCCTTAATGTTCGGACTGGCGGATGGTCTGTAAGATTTAAGTGCTGATATGTAATGAGATTGGATTGAGTTTTATTGCAGACATATCATGTTTCAACGTCTGTTTGTTGAGTCAGAGCATGTCACACATTTCATGAGGTTCGACGACAAACTCACAACCATTCAAGCCAACTCATGCACAAACTTGGAATTTATGTATACCTTGGTATGTATGACAGGTGAACGCGCAATAATGAAAATAGTAGGCATTGCGTAGGTACGATTACGACTATCAACAGTATTTGAGTTTTGCCTCCCCCCTCCATGAACGTCACCATCTCACAAATCCAAGGGAGAAGAACAACCATGTGTCAGGTGCAGGAGCGGTTTGGCAGCTTGAGCGCAGCATTCCGGCATGTGGCCAGCCACTTAGAACATGTACACAGGTGTGTCATGGCAAACAATGATGTCATGACGTGCAATGTCTTCAAGTGATTTCAACTTCACGCCAGTGGATGACAAGCGGTGGGCGTGAACAACGGGGGCGTGTGATGCCCTTCCGTGCTTCCATCCGCTCTTATGACATGCGCTCCCAGCCGTGACCAGCCAAACCAGAGCCCCCTCAAATCCTTCAAAGAAATTGCTTACACCTGGGTGTTGTCAGCAGGCTCATATTTTTCATCCTGAGGACTTGGACAGGAATGGCATCATGACGAGGACCTGTGCAGCTTTTGCTTCGCTGAGGTGGCAGTGCCCCCCAATGGCTAGGAATGAGACGCGGTACCTGTTCCGCCTCTGCAACATCCCGGAGGAGTTCCAGCGAACAGACATTTCTTTGGTGCATTTTGCCAAGGGAGGTTAGGGCTTTAACTTTTTGCCAACTAATGGGTTGTCCATTAAAGTTCACCAAAGTTATATAAACAACTTCTGCGGGGGAGCAGAGTTCGCCGCCGAGATTTCTTCCCCCCCCCCCCTTTTGTGTTTTTCCTTCTCCGCCTCGTTTCCGTGACGTCGCGCTCCGCGAAGTCCAGGAGTTGGCCAACAAGTACCACAGCGCGGTGGACACCAACGGCTCCGGGGAGATCTCCTTCCAGGAGCGAAGCTGCGATGCTGGGAGTAGCGGCGGGGCTGGAGGGGCGCGCATCAACCGGCCGAAGGTTGGCCCCATATGAACCAGCCCCAGTGTAATAGGGGGGGTGTTTTTGGGTGGCTGGGGGAATCAGGCCACTTCTGGAGGCGAAAAAAATCACCAGGAAATGAACTGGGGTTGATATGGGGTCAACATTTGGGAGGGTTTTGACGCCCAGGAGCTGCGCGAAAGCTTGGCGCCCTACATCAGCACTGAGGACGGGAGATGGTTGCGCAGATTGGAGGTTCGCATGGGGTCCGTTGCCATATGCAGAGGTGTCCGTGCGCGCCAGGAGTTTGCTGACATGAAGAAGGAGAGGGCTGAGTGGGTCAGCCTTAGGTTGGGTGTGCAGGAAGGTCAGCCTTGAGTATACGAACACTACAAACAGGTCGCACGGCCAAGGTGTGTCCAACTGCATTTGGCTCAGTGAAAAAAGGAGGCAGCAGAGCAGAGCTGAGTCGCAAGCCATGGACTTTGGCCTTCGTCCTGGGTGGGGCTGGGTGCCATTGCTGCATTGGTGGATTTGTGGGTTGCAAGCCAAAGGGGAGTGATTTGCTTCAGCCTTTTGGACCCAAGGGCCCGCAAATGGGGTGAATTTGTGGGTTGCAAGGCAGGGGGTGGGTGCAGAGTTGCCAGGATCTGCTTCAAATTGTTTGGAGCCAAGGGGCCGCACTGGCACCGGCACCGACATCACCATCACGGGCTTGGGCCAGTGGGAGTGGCAGCGGAAGCAGTTACCCCACCAGGGACTGGCAAGGTTTGCTTGTGTTTGCTGCTTTGCATTGCGTCCAGCTGCACATTTTTGTGGTGCAGCACAGCCTTTTGCTGTGCACTGACAAGAGTCCACCCCTTCAGAAGTCTATTTTTTCCCGTTCCGGACGGCTTGGAGCGAAGCTGGGCCCATGAGGCGTTGGTGGGTGGCGCAACCGCAGCGGTGGTGTCCTCCATCTCCCGGTCTCGGGCGCATCGGGCGCCCCTTCCGCCCCAGCAGGTGCTGGTGCTGCCAAGCTACCCACAGAGGGTGCAAGGCGGGAACGGGGCGGGGTAGGTTTTCGCACATGCAGTCGAAGACAGTCGAATGCATCAACGCCTTTCGGCTGGTTTTTTAGACCCCAGGGTTTATCTGCACGCAAGTCGGCCTCGCCCAAAATGCCATCGTTAGGAAGCCAGGAGCTGAAATGACAAGCCGTTTGGCCAAGCACAAGTCGTTTGGCCAAGCATATATGTATATATATATATATATGCATCCCGCAGTTGGAGTTCCCACACAAGCTCCACTTCAAGCGCCTCCCATTGTGGCGCCTGCGCGGCTCGCGCCGCAGCTTGCGCCGCGAGCCACCCCAGCGCCGCAGCTTGGGGACGTGGTGGCGCCAAGCACGCAGCCGCTGGGCGTCTTCGCCGTGCGGCTGCCACCTCAGTCACTTGGCAGCTATGGCTAGCCCTTCCTGTGGGCTTCACGTATGACTCAGCCGGTCTAAGAGCGCTCCGCTGCTTGTTGCGGCCACGTGCCACGTTGGCTTAGCAAGGCTACTGGAGCTGCGGGATTCCGTGACGTTCTTTGCCGTGGAAGTAGCCGCCGAAAGCGGGCATTGGAGAGTCATGCGCCGCTACAACGACTTCCATGAGCTCAAGGAGGGCCGCCGGCCATGCGGCCAGCAAACCAACCCCCCCACCATGCAAAGGGCAAGAGGCCGTGAGACTTGCGATGTCCAATCTGAAGCTTGCCGCAAGAGGGCCCTGTTTGCCCACATTTGTTTGAAGCAGTATCCCTCACTCTCAGGCTGTTCATAGAGAATGCGCAGGCCCCCGCCCCCCAACCACCCAGCCCGTAGCCCGCCGCATAATTTTTCTCCACCCCTCCCGAGTTTCGAGCCCCGAGCCCCGAGGAGCAGCTGCGGGGCTCCACGTCGTTCCCGGGGGCGCCCTTCCCCCGGAAGGACGGGCTGCGCGTCAGCGGCCCCAAGTTGGAGCTCCGCCGGCAAGGTCGGCGCGGTGTGGTTTTCTTCGGGGGGGGGGGGGGCAGCCCCTTTTCGTTTTCAGGGAGACAAACCTATTTGGGGAGCTTGGCGCCCCAACTTGGGAGGCAGGCAATCGGCACTCCCGTGAGACACATTTCCCCCCGTTCGTCAGTGGGATTTTTTTGGGGGGCATTTGAGCAGCAGGTTTAGAGCTTTGGCTGCAGCGGGTGGTGGAGCACCCGCGCTCTGCGGGCGACTGGGCCCCCGCGTTGCAGGGCTTCCTGCAGGCGGGGCGGCAGATGGGCCCCCCAACCCCGGCGCCGCCGACTCCGCTTCCGCTTCCGCCGGCCCCTCCAGCTCCGCCGCCGGAGGTGGCGTCGGATGCTGCTCGGAGACAGTGAGTTGCAACACCCAGGTTGAAGGCCAGACAGTCCCAACCACATTGGGCAGCCGCTCTTTCTCTTGGTTTGGGGTGAGCCTCTTTATCAGTTTTTGATGACGACTGAAGAGGCTGTGATTCAAGACCTCAATTTTGCCTCCCGTTGTTGGCATGTTGACGACACAGGTTCCGGTTGGCCGTTGTGGTGCCGCTGAGGTCTTGTTGGAAATCGTCATTCCAGCGGGCGTCAGAGAAGGCGCGGGCGCTTTTTGCGCGTTTTGAATTTCTGGGAGTGCCGGGTTGCTTTTTTGGGGGCAAGAAAACAAGTGCAGGCCAGTTGCTGGCGGTCACTGTGCCCGATGGGAGCCAGAAGAACATATCAGTGCCGAAGGCAGGGCCGCAGAAGTCGTGTCCTTTTGTGAGGGTACCCTTTTTGGGGTGATGTTAAAAGGAAACCACAAGAACAACCTCCGTTTTGGGGGGTTACCTAGTTTTGAGACACTCCCAGGTGTTGCAAGTTGGAACCCATGTTGGAGTTGCCGATTCTTGCCAATTTGTGGACGAGCGTTCGTGATGGCAGCTGAACACGGCAATAAGCTCAGCCTTGCGATAGCAGGGGAGCAGGCCAATCAAAGATGGGCCTACAGTCATCAAGCTCCACGCAAACAAGCGTAGAGCCAATGCTGGTACAAAATCAACAAATCCACATGCCTATTTCTGTCCAAGTGTGCCTTCGCCGGCGTTTCGTGTGAGGCGGCAGAATATTGATCACACCCGGCGATGGATTCCCAATGCCAAAAGCCTCCAGCGCTTTTTTGCCGTCTTTGGGGTTTTCCTTGAACAGTTCGACGCGGTAGTCGCAGCCATAGGCTGAACGTGGGATACCCGCTCTCCCACGTTTTCATGGCACAGGCGGCCGAAAAAGAGGGGACTGATCTCCCAGATGGCCTGCAGGTCCCCCATGTGAAGGCCACTGGGGCTTCCAGCCATTCAAACCAAAGGGGGGTGCCAGACGGCGAGATTCTGAGGGCTGTGCCGGCGGCTCGAAGCTGGAGCTGGTCTACCGCGCCGCCGAGAACACGCTGGTGCCGGCGTGAAGTTCTGAAGGCGGGAGGGCGTCCCCCCGAAGGAATCCATGCCGCGGCGGTATGGCCATGGGTCAGAAGCTAGGGCGATCCCATTTTGGGGCGGAGGAACACCCATGGACCACCTATTTTGATGTTCACCAGGGGTTTCCTGGGTTTTGACCCACAGCCATGTGAGTTCGGATTCAAACAAGCCCCGAAATGATTGGCCTTCCTTTGGTTTCCATTTCCAGCGGGTTTTCCTGGACAGAGGATCCCCCCCGCCGCCATCCCCCAGAATTTGGTCACAAGGCCCCGGCTGAGGTCTGCCCTCCGACGAGTTACTTGGACTCTGAAGCGAGGAAACCGGTTTCACCCAGGTCGTTGTTGGCCGTGGAAGCTTGTACAGCCAGTGCTGAAGGCGAAGGTGCGGAAGGCCCTCAGGCACCCGAGAATCCATTGGGCTGTGGGTCAAAACCAATGGTACCCACCCATTTTAGTCTATTTTATTGGGGATTGAGATGTTCACTGGGGGTACGGGATTTTGACCCATCGCCATTCCATTCGTGCGATTCCATCGCACCGTGTCTGTTTGCTTTGCTTACCTTTGGTTTGGAGTTGGCAGAGGGCCTGAGGGGGAAGTGGAGGGCCTTTGAATGATTTGGCTTCTAGCAATGTCTCAGAGCTGTGAGCTGTGGCGCCGCCCAAATGAACGGGAATGAATGCAGCCGCCTTGCCCAGTTGGACAGTCACCTTGCCCAGCAAGTGGCCCCTCCAAACACAAAAAAATCTGCCCCTCAAGGACCAGCGAGTTCGGGCTCCCACGCCGCCTTCGGAGAGGACTGCCAAAGCTCAAGCACGTGAGCCACACTCAAAACACGGGCAGATGAGGGTCAAGGGCGTCTAGAACTAGGTGCGGATAGCCGGCTTTTTCATTCTTTACTTGGTTCTGGGTAGACCATCTTCATGCCAGGTTTTGATTGTGGATCATGTGACTTTTGTACAACTGGGCGGGCCGTGGTTTGTGCAGAGCTTCCCAGTCGTACCTTCGTTTTTCGATACCAAGCTGCCACTCGGGTCCAAACTGAACTGGCTATGTTAATTTTGTTGGGGACCTAAAAAGTTACTGGAGGACATGAATCCCCACTATGATGTCCAGCAAAAGGGTCCTGATAGAAATTCATAATGTTGACCCCATATCACCCCGGCTTATTACTTGGCAGGGGGGGGGGTGTCCCTGGTTTTAGGGGGGAATCATTATTACTGGAGGGGAACACCCCCTTATTCATAAACTGGTTGATACGGGGTCATCATCATTCCTGTGATTTTCATGCGCCTAGAGAGAACCACAGAGTCCTAAGCCATCCTGTTGATAGGGGGGTTGATTAATATGGCTGTGGCTCAAAACCCTGTACCCCCGTGAACGTCAAAACAGGTGGCAAATGGATGTTCATCCACCCCAAAATGCAGCCACAGGTTACGCCCCATGGTCATGTGGGTATGCGTCAAAATTAAGCCATGGGTATGGGAATGGGTATGGATTCTCTTTGTATCCCGTGGCCATCTCTGTTGGTTAAGTGAGTAAACGATTTGCGACCGGCTTGCAACCACCATTGCACGGGGGTGCCTACAAAGATCGCCT